TACTTTTAGAATATTATATATTATCTCAATATTGTTGTTAAATATTATATTTCATTAATAAAAAAAAATATTTAAACATGAATTTAGTTTTTAACATTTTTCAAGTTGTTTTAGAAGAATTTCCCACTGATACCAGTATCATTGGTTAAATATAATAATTAGTCCTTTCACTCCTACACTATTTATCCACTGCAACTGATGTATGCTAAGTAAAATAAAATATAATCTATAATCTATATGATCTAATTATTTAAGTTTAAAATAATGCAAACATGGTTTCCAAAACTTGTATGGTTACCGTTAAATGAGAATTTTATAAAATACATTGATGTAACATCTGGAGCATATCAACATAATCAATATTTGTAATAATACTGTATGACTCAATTTGCAATAATTATATTATTGTTTTGCTTTTTATATTAGTATTTATTTATATTTATATTGAATATAATTCCAACTACAACAAAATTAGGTAAAAACGAAATTATTGCTATAACTAAATATAGTGGGTCACCTTCAATCCAATGACTGTCCAGAGATGAGAGTTTTAATAACTTATTATTTTTCTAATACATGCCTGGAAAATTGAAGTTACATTTAAAGATATAGCGGTTTATAACTTTTGTTATTTTACTTTTTTTATTTTTGTGTCTGTCATCACGTTTTAGAACAGTAAAAGTGCTTGGATTTTCTTCAACAGTAGCTTTTCTGATAGGAAAGTGAATCTAGTTGGTACTGTAGGGGGTCAAAAGTAAAAATACGGACAATTTTCCGTTTTAAATTTTTTTAGTTTTTTTTTCTATAAATATCAATAAAGTTGTATCTGTTGTGCCAAAAAGTGTAAAAATGTAATATAAGGCTCCTGATATATTGCTACAATATCAGTTGAAAAATATTAAAAATACATAAGCACAATTTTTTTTATAAGCATTTAAAGATCAAATTTTGACAAAATTTATCAAATTTAAAATTGAATAATTATTTTGTAGTTAAAAATTTATAAAATGTTTTATATCTAAGGATTGAAAATTTAAAACAAGATTTCACGTAAGTAGATAATTCTGTTACCAAAAAATCTTAAATATACATAAGCAAATTTTTATTTTTATAGTCATTTTAAGTTCAAATTTGGACGAAATTACATAATAAAAAACCTAGAATAACTATTTTAGTTATTTTGTTGTGATTGTGTAATATTATTCGTGGGTACTTGAAACTTCTAAAGTACACTATTATATATCTATGATAGTATCAGGGTTTGTCGTTGGTGTATAAGTGCCAGGCGCGGACTGGCTGGGGTGCTGGGATGCTACAGCATCCCTTGCCCTAAAATATATTTGCCTAATATTATTTATTATATATTTAAAGACTCTAGACACCTTATGAACAGCAGATTGTTACCAACTTACGATTACTAGTAATCTATAATATTGTACAATTTTGATTGAAAGTTAGTTGTAACTTGGTATTTATTTACGTTTTTAAAGTATTTTAAAGCTTCCCGTGCCCTATTTTACCAGTCCGAGCTTGTGTATAAGATGTGTATCGTTATAAGAACCTAATGGATATTGTGATATGATTAATTTGGAATTCATTATAGGTCAATTTTTTTTATTACCATAGATATCTAAGTAGGTATATAATATGTCTTATACCTAGAAGAACATACCGTCTCCGCTCAGAATCGTTTTTCTTATACAATGATATAATATCATTGAATTAAAATGTAATACCATCCATTATACAGTGACCCACTTGTAATCTACTGTACAGCAGAGCGACACCCACTTACCTTCCTTTTTTTTAAAATCTTGTATTATATGTATTAACAGGTCTGTATTTGAACATTTTGACATTTTGCTCCCCGTTTCACCATATTTTGATCCCTCGACATTGTTATCAGCTGTAAAATGCACCTTTCTTTTTGGTTGGGGGAGGGTTAGGGGTTAAGTGTTTTTTTTTCAAAAACCTAAATTTGATTTAATTTAATATTTGTTATTAAAAAAAAATTATTTTTTTAGACAGCTTACTAAACTATGACTAAAATCAGCGTAGGTATAATAGATTACTTTTAGAATCGGAACTAAGTAGGGAGCAGCAAAGTTGTACTCTATATTATTAAAGCAGAGATTGTAACTATCTATAAAATGCAGGGTTGGCACGAAAAATCAAAGCCTGAAAAAATCCGGGATGCTTTTCTTTGTTATACCCACTTTTTTTTAGAAAATTCGGGCTGCTTTTCTAGGTTAAACCCACTCATTATTTTGAAAAAAATCTCATAAAACCCGGGCTGCTTTTCTGGATAAAATAGAAATTCCATCTTTTTTTTTTTGTGTTAATTTTTATAAAAATTTACCTTATTTATATAAGTATTATTTATTTTTCCAATTAAGTATTAAACTACGGCGTGCCACCATTGAGTGACTTCCCCCTCCCGTCAATCAAACCATATCCCATTTACTTATTACATAACTTGTAAATACAGATTGTCAATATACATTTTTGTTCAATAAAAAAAAAAGAAAGAATTTAACCGATTTGTAAAATATTTAATAATTATTTTTTTAATTAGGTACCTAGGTACAATTTTAAATACAAAATTAAAAAAATTACACGCCAACGGGCAACGGTCAGTAGAAATGTTAACAATATTTTATTTTAGATTCTGAGTGAAACGATGAATGTATTGACATTACAATGATGTGTGTTTTTATATTTATTTTGTGTCTGTGTACACGATAAGTAGTCGAAATAATGCTTCGATTTTCGACTTCAGTATCTTGTTCGATTGGAAAGTGAATATCGTTGGTGCATTGGGGAGGACAAAATTACTTTTGTAAACTTTTCAAAAGTTCCAAGAAAAACAAAAGAAAAATTAAGGAAAAACGGGAATTTTTACGCAAAATCGATTTTTCAGAAAATTGAATTTGGTTTTGGTGTAACTTTAAAACAAATGACCGTATACATAAATGAAATTTTCACTGGTTGTTTATATTTGCATTTTCTATACACGATAACATTTTCAAAATATTTTGATTTATTTTGAACTGTTTAGGGACATTTTCATTTTTCATTTTTTTTTAGTTTTTTTTCTAGAAATATCAATAAAATTTTATTTGTTGGTTAAAAAAACTTGAAAATTTAATAGAAGGCTCCTAGTATATTGTTTCAAAGGCAGATTAAAAATTATTAAAAATCGTTAGTCACAGTTTTTTTTATAAGCATTTAAAGTTCAAAAATTTACAAAATATGGAAAAATCACGAAAATTAGCAAATTATTTTGAGTTAAGAATTCGTAAAAATTTTTCTTTTTAAATCTAAGATTTGAAAATGTAATACAAGATTACTCATAAGTTTGTCTACCTTTATCAATAAAAAAATCTCTACCGGACAGTCAAATTAAATTTTTATGAGCGTTTGAAATTCAAATTTTTACAACATTGGATGTTCACTCGATTTCTCATGTAGCGATTTCCTTATTTTGTTGTAATTCAAAAACGAATAACTGTAGATACATGAAAATTCACTGAATATTTAAATTAGCATTTCCTATACACCATACAATTTTGAAAATATTTTGACTCTTTTTGAGCTGTTTACGGATATTTTAATTTTTCAATTTTTTTAGTTTTTTTTTCTATGAATATCAATAAAGTTTTATCTGTTGGGCCAAAAAGTGTAAAAATTTAATACAAGGCTCCTGGTATATTGTTACAATATCAGTTGAAAAATATTAAAAATACATAGGCACAATTTTTTTTCATAAGCATTTAAACATCGAATTTTGACAGAGTTTTTCAAAATCTGGAAAATTATTAATCATCGTAATTAATAAATTATAATATGTTCAGTTTTTATAGCTAAGGATTGAAAATTTAAAACAAGATTCCACGTAAGTAGTTAATTCTCTTACCGAAAAATCTAAAAAATATACTATCACAGTTTATTTTTATAGTCATTTTATGTTCAAATTTGGACGAAATTACATATTAAAAAACCTACCTAGTTATTTTGTTGTGATTATACAGGGTGATTGATTTAGCGTAAAACACTCATTATCTATAATATTTATAATATAATATTTTTCTAAGTATTTTGATACATAAAAATCGAACTTAGGACGAGTAGTTTATGAGTTATAAGTAGTTTAAGTTTAGATGAGCGGAATGGAGTGTATGGGGTTACCCCGCAAAATGTTTATCCACTACACCGCCCATCTAAACTTAAAATACTTATAACTCATAAACTACTCGTCCTAAGTTCGATTTTTATGTATCAAAATACTTAGAAAAATATACTGTTTTAGAATATGAAATTAAAACTCTATGCTGTCATTCAAAAAGTAAAAAACTTAAAAAATTATAAGGATAAAAAATATTTAAAAATATAATTTTTTAATGAAAACGTTGTTTTTTTTAACAAATTGAAACTATGTAAAAAAATATTTTCAAAAACATTAATAATTTTTGAGATAATGAGTGTTTTACGCTTAATGAATCACCTTGTATAATATTATTCGTGGGTACTTACTTGAAACTTCTAAAGTGTACTATTATATATCTATGATAGTATCAGGGTTTGTTATTGATGTTGATGTATAACGTGTTATAAGTACCTAATGGATATTGTGATAATGTGATATGATTAATTTGGAATTTATTATAGGTCAATTTTTTTTTTAACACCATTGATATGTATATAATTTGTCTTAAACCTAGACTGACATACCGTCTTCGCTCATAATCGTTTTTCTTATACAATGATATTGTATCATTGAATTCAAATTTAATAGCATCCGTTATACAGTGACCCACTTGTAACCTACTGTACAGGAGAGCGACATCCACTTACCCACGTTTTTAATAATGTATTAAATACGTAACTTTCCTGTAAAAACTTTATGAAT